GGACGGTGAAAAATTCCCAAAAAATTCACATAATTCTATTTTGCATTGCAGAACAACATATTAAAATTTCATGAAATTCTCTGGATTTTGTTGTAGCCATCGAACCACCTTAAGTAAAAAACACAATTTTTAATATAAAACTAATAAAATATATTTGATTTAATGTCACAGTAAATGAAACAATTAGGCAAAAAGATCATAGACAATAAATTATTAAAATACTTTAACGTATAATAGTATCCAATAATCATCCAATTACATACATAAAAATTGAAGTGAAGAGAATAATTATTTTAATTTTAATTACTATTAAGCAGTAAAAGGAATAAATCTATTATTTTAAAGTATATTCTGTTTCGCTCTAACTTATTGCACCACTGTGCACTAGGAAGATTTTCGAAAAAGAACAGATGGACTGTTTGATATGCGCATTGCGGCTTGCGCCGCCCTTGCGCGTCGCTCGTCTGTCGCTCGTTATGCGCGAGCGCGAGACGCGAGACGCGACAGTTTGCATACTGCATATGGCGGGCGGTATCATGTTGTTGGCGTTTACGGTTTCCCGAGAGAGATCTCGTTCACGAGTGCCGTCGCCGGCGAATTTCGCGTAAGGTAGGGTCGTTGTCGCGGTGCCGATGGTCATCGACGACCGACGGCGCCCGGTCGAGCGCGGCGCGATGCGGTGCCCCATGCCCGCGATCTCGGCCGGCTTCGGCGAGCAGATTGAGGTTAGCTTTTTGAATTTGCGCCCGTTTGCGCCGTCGCCGTTCCATGGCAACGCGCCAACACGCCCGACGCCGTGACGCTGACGCGCCTGTCTTTTTCCAGGAATACGAAGTGTTGAATCTACTGGGCAAAGGCGGGTACGGGAGCGTCTATCGGGCGAGATGTCTCCGCAGCGGCATGGAAGTCGCGATCAAAATGGTAATTTCCTTGTCCATCTTTTCTTGGAGTTTAGAGGACTGACGCCTGTTGCTCCAGTCGCATTGTCGAGCTCCAAGACATTTACCTTTAAAATATGAACTTCGAAATGCATACGCAAAGCCGATCTCGGCAAGATTTGAGGTATTGGGCAAAAGAAATTGGACCAATGTCAATTCTTGAGGTCGCAAACACTCTAGTGGCTTGCTCCGTACTCGGCGAGTTATACAAATACAAAATTTATTGCGAGGCTTCTTCCGCCGTTGCTTCAAAGGGGACAATCTATATCTACATGTCCTCTTTATGTCTACTTGTCCCTGTAGATCGACAAGAAAATGATGCAAGCTGCTGGGATGATAGATAGAGTGAGGCAGGAAGTAGGAATACATTCACGGTTGAAACATCCCGCTATCCTGGAGGTATACACGTGCTTTCAGGATGCAAATTACGTGTACCTGGTTTTAGAATTATGTCACAACGGAGAGCTTCAACGCTACCTCAAAGCGCAGGGCACCAAAACCCTATCCGAGGAACACGGTACATAATTTATACATGCATGAGAAAGGATACATTTAAAATTTTTAATTACAATTGTAACAAAATTTTGCTGTTTTAGCCGCCTATATAATCAAACAAGTGGTGCACGGTTTGGTTTATCTCCATTCCCACCAAATACTTCACAGAGATCTGTCGCTGTCCAATCTACTCTTGACCAGAGATATGCAGGTGGTACGTAAAAAAAAAGAAATATGCAACATTTGTTATAAGGCAAAAAATTCGTTTCTTTTTTATTCCAACTTGATTTCTGTGCTCGCAGAAAATAGCTGATTTCGGACTGGCCACGCAGTTGAATAAGCCGGACGAAAAGCACTTGACTATGTGCGGCACGCCAAATTATATCTCGCCCGAGGTGAGTGCTTCCTGAAAATTGTCGTACGGACCGCGATGTCTCACGCAGGATTGTAACATTTTCAAAAATCTTCAGGTTGCCACGAGATCTTCGCACGGCCCGGAAGCGGATGTATGGAGCTTGGGATGTATGTTGTATACTCTGTTGGTGGGCAGGCCACCGTTTGAAACCGATGCGATTAAGAGCACCCTAACTCGAGTGGTCATGGCGGACTATGAAATGCCGCTTCATCTGTCTGACAATGCAAGGGATCTGATAGATAAATTACTGAAGAAGAACCCGAAAGAAAGGATATCCTTGCGGGACATTCATAAGCACCCATTTATAACGAGCATAGAAAAGAGTAGGCTACGCAACGTAAGTGACACGTACTTAAGATATAATATCAGGTGTAAATTTGAACAAGTCTTTAATAACGGGGAAAAAATATTATTGAATTGACGAGTTCACGAATAATACAGCGTTTTGTTTCACGTTTTGTTTATCCAGGAAAGAAACGGTACGAGCAAAAATGCGTTTACCGATGGCATGATGGATTCCGGGCTTGGTAGGACACTTTCGTCGTACGGTCGGCCGAAAATGCGATCCCGATCGGAGGAGAGAATCTCCACGACACCGATGATGCCTATGGTCAGTGTGAGAAGTGAGCCGTTGTCCGAGCCTATTATGAAAATGCATTTGCACGGTGCGAGATATGCCCATCACCGCTTGAAGGAAGACTCATTGATGAGCATTCCGATGTCACGCGATAAAGCATTCTCGCAAAGCGAACAGTACGGCGTCTACAACGACTCTGAGAGACCGAGGATGGTGGAAAGGCACAGGCCAAGGAAGGAAAACATCCCGGAGAACCGTAGCGCGGAAGGAACTGAGAAAAGCACAAAGTTACAAGTGTCGCCCTTAAATTCTAACAGACTGCAACCTACCAGGCACAGAACGAAGGGCGCGATTCTCACTATTCTGGATAACGGGGAAGTGTGCATCGAGTTTATCAAGCGTAGAAACGGCACGGTACGTAGAGAAGAGAATCGCTTTATTCTATTTAAAAAAAATGGTAGATATACATTTGTACAATAAATGCAAGAATGTAAAAATACCAAATATTTTTCATGTCGTAGGAAAAGATAAGCGAAGTGTGCAGAATATCAGGTGACGGCCTGCGAGTCGTTCTCTACAAGCCGAACACGACTACGGAGATTGGCTCGCAACCGCTACCGTTGCCTAACCGAGGCGCCGATAGTATTTATTCGTACGAGAATTTGCCGACGTGCCACCATCGAAAGTATCTGTACGCCTATCGTTTCGTGAAGCTGGTTCAGGCAAAAACTCCAAAATTGACATTGTACACTCAACGCTCCAAGTGTCTGTTCATGGAAAACGGTCCGCAACCTGATTGCGAAGTGCACTTTTACAACGGAGTAAAGGTACTGTCGATTCTCATGCATTATGTAGTGATGTATGCAGTGATAAAATTAAATAAAAACTGATTGTGTGTACGATATAAAATAATCTCAAGCTGCAAAAGTTAATATCATGATTCTTATACATTGTTAATTAAATTACATCTAATATTTAAATTTTATTTAAGATTTGTATATTTTATATAATGTATAAGGCTCACAAGATTAAAATCAAATAAATAAATAAAGGGCAATGAGCCGTAACAGGATGACAGTGTTAATATATTCAGTGTAATAATACAAAAATAGTTATAAACGTTTCTGTTCTAATATCGAACCATCCTCAGTGTTCAAATTATATATGCAAAGAGAAAAGTATTCCCGAGAACATTATTACATAAAACGAACGTATAGAAGTAGAACGAAAGTCATAATATTACGCGCGAACTCCTTTAATTCCATCGGACGGAGAAGACGAAATCGTTTTTGTATTATTACACTGAATATATTAACACTGTCATTCTGTTACGGCTCGTTGCCCTTTGTATATTTTATATTTAGTTTTTATATTTCATATTCTAGGTTGTCCGAGTGGATGGTGTTGTGAAGATCACCGATAACAGCGGTACGTTTGTCGAGAGTACGTACCCGTCGCATCTCGAGACCTATTACGAGCATTACTCGGAATGTTATCAGCGTTGCTTGCTACTGGAATCCACCCTAGCATCTTTGGAGGCAGCTACCGGGCATTCCTACTTCCCCGCGATAATCGGACGACGGCCTCACACGGCTTTGAGTGATTCTCCCTGTTTTCAGGGGAAAGAAAATGTCTCGCACCACACCACAAATGGTTCCCCCAATGTAAGTAGCGGACAGGATGCCTGATTTTTCCGCTTTGCTGAATTAACGTTGAACCTCTTTCAGTTGCCGTCGTTTGACGCTTCCTGCTCCGTCATCTCGACGGCGACTTCCAGGTCGCGCAAGATGAACTCCATGCATAATTCTAATCACCATAATGTGACCAAGGTGGCGGTGCCGGGAATCGGTTTTGTTACGAAATTGTCATCTGGCGATATTAGGGTTGACTACAGGGACGGAACCGCTTTAACTGTAAATTTCCTAAATATCGTTTATTAATTTAATTATCGATTTAACTTTAACGACAAAATATTCACGATAGTTTTCTAATCGACACGTCACTCAAATTTTATCGACAATTGTGGTTTGTTACACAGGTAAGTCCACAAAGTCACCATGGCGACATCACGTACGAAAGTAAGGACGGCATCGCTATACGATTTAACAAGCATCATCAGCAGAACTTGGAGATATCGGTCCAAGAGAAGCTCCGGCAATTGCCGACGGTTATCAAATATTTCATAAACCCGATGCACCAAGGCATTCGGTAGTTCCGCACGAAAATGTAGAATATTTTGTATAGTACAAGAAATCACCCTCGTCCATGGACTGTAAGCTTGCTATAGATTTATAAATTAGCATAGATTTATAGATAGCTTATACAAATTTAAATATAGCTTTATGATTATTTCCTAAGTATATATAATAACGAGAAAAATAAAGAGAAATATATTATATTCTTATCTTATCTGATACGCTCAGTTCGAGTTGCTATTGCTATTTTAATATTCATTTGTAAGAAACAAAAAAAAATAGAGAGAAAGCTCGTTAAATAGTAAAACAAGGGGAATAGGGTGTTTTTCAAATATCGATATTTATTTTTATAGATAGAAGACGAGAGGCAATTGTTGATACTATATTATATATATATATGGAAAATTTGAGAATAATTCTTATAAGAGTGGAATAAAATTGAAAATTTTTCCATTGTTTGCGATACGTGAAGGGACATTCTGCGAAATCCGGTATCTCCTACTCCTCAAAGTGATAAACTAAGCAGGTATATTTATTGTTACATTTCTCGATATAGAAGATATATTTTTAAATCATCATTACGATCGCTGGTTCGCCCCGCCGAGCAGCAACGAGAAACAAATTTCTAATAAATCAGGTAAACCACGAGAACATGCAAGTTCCCAATTTTCATAAAAATTGTTACAGCAGATCCCTCCTATTCCCGCATCTTCCCGCAAAATCCCTTCATCACGACTTTTGAGATTCTACTCGTCGGATCGGATTGTCAGAGAATACGGGCATTCTCGCCTTTGGTCGCCTCGGCGCGTTTATTTGCGACTCCCCGATCGAATCGGGGTCACAGCCGGTCATCATCGCCTCCCGCCAAGCCCCGCTCCATTGAAGGGACCGACGAGCGCCGAGCGCTTACTACAGCACGCCCTACGATTCGTCGCCGGAGCAACGATCCCATTCACCATACAGAAAGTAACGGACGACGCGTTCGTGACGCCATGTTGAGTCTCCGGCCGAAGATACCCCGTGTAAGTCGTTCCCCCTGATCCCCGAAATTCCGACGTGCCCGCGCGCGTGTAATTGCGCGTGATAAGATCGATAAGATCGTCGGCGCGCGACGAGAGATCCATCGGTGTGGACCGTTCGCGGGTGGTCGATCTTGCATCTCGTCGACGCGCAGTCTCCCGGAGTGGCTCTGACAGATGGTAAACAAGCGAGTTATAACGCAGTGGTATCTGTGAAGTGGAGATCAAGAACCTGTAAGCATAATTAGCATAAAATTCCTCGAATAGTTCTGAATAGTCTTCGCGTGGATGGGTAGCTAGTGGAATTGAGAGTCCATCGGATTCGCCAGTTTCATCCTTCTCTCTCTCTTTTACGGCTAGCGATCGCGAGTGGGATGTCCTTCGCTGTCGCGGCCGTGGGACGCGCGATCGCCGCGGTAATTAACGAGCAACTGCTGCTGTAATCGCGGATTCCTGCGAAGCGTATACGGGCGCTGCCCATCCCACCTTCTCCGGGCATTATTAACCTCAGGCGAGCGACTCTGCAAACTGCAAACATGGGTAAGTCGCTGATCTCGACGAGAATCTCACTTTTCGGGTCTTCTGCTGTAAATTAACATGATCGTGCGATGCCCAGATCCGATTTAGGACCGTCGTGCGAGCGTCCATAACAACGGTATCCATACGGTTGTAAACATTGGGGCTACTCGAGGTTCGACGCGCTCGATACAATGAGCTAATCAACTGATCGAGACCGAGCTATTTTTGATACGATGTGAATTATAATTGACGCAGCACGGACGAGCGCGAAGAAAGCTTGTTAAGTGTTATTAAGAGACGGATGACGTTCGCACGCAAGTGAAGGAGTTCTGGATGAGGACAATAATAGACGCCGCGCGCTAATTATTTCCGTCGGAGACGTCGTGGCGCGTTAACGGCACGTTTACATTGCCGAGTTTGTGAATGGACTAGCGTATAATTAGCGAATATAGTTAAACACATGTCGCGCGTTATCTGACCGAACTGTAGATAAGTGATTAGTCATCCGTCTGTGGTATGGTTTAGTCATTGGCCGAACGCCCAGCTCTCGCGGCCACGCGTTCTTCGTTTTTATTGTTACTGTCGGAGTGTCGGATCGTTTATTGTTGCTCTTACAATTATATTTAAAATGGCGAGGTTGAAGAAACTACGTCAGGCTAGAGAGAGCGTGCCGCTGCGCGGCAACTTTGGGAGTAACGCTAGCCTAGACAGATTTTCCGAGCGTAGTCTACACGGACTAAATTCGAAGGAACGAACTTGTAGTAAGTGTCTGAAAATGCTGTTGGAATGTGACGATAAACAGTACGAGTTGCCCTGTGACAAATGTAGACGCGATAAAATTGAATTCTGCTCTTCGTTACAATAGATTCTGTTGTAATTTATTTCAACAGTTACGTATCTTACGGGGGGTTAATATCTCTCTTTGAAAAATTTACTTGACACACTATGCTATATTATCACTGTTATATTTATATTGATTGTGACAACTTCAATTAAATATGTAAACGGACATAGCGTCCCATAACAAAATGACAAATATTAAAGGAATTTCCTTGTTTAGGAAACATGTGCAACGAATGCATGGCCAGGGTGCCGTATGCGACTCTCATAGCAACCATCATGTGTTGTCTGGGAGTCGGAATCTTCTGCGGAACTATGTACCGAGGTGCGACGTTGTGTGCTCTTATGATGGATCAGGTAAATCACGCGTGAGAGTACTTGGTGCTTTTGATTTCAAAGTAAAGATTCTGTAAATCTCAAGTTACAAAATTAATCCAGGTGTTCCATTTGCATCTTGGATGGTTGGAAGCGGTGCAGCTAGTATTTGCGTCGATCGGAGCTTGCATGGCAGCCTTAGGATTCATGATTTTGTGCGTCGGTTGTCTCGCAACTGGTGCTACGAGGCACAAAGTCTACCGTGCGTGGAGATCCCGAGTGGGTGGGCGTATCTCCTGTGCTGTTGTAAGTTTTTAAAGTGGAAAATCCTTTATTATTCCCCATTAATGGAAAAATCACGGTGCGACTACAAGCTATTTTAATTATCTTAATATATACATCTTTATTTTCCAGTTTATGACTATCATCTACATCCTGCAAATAGTTTGGCTTTTGATATTTGCATTCCTGGTTATTACTACGCTGGTATTTACCATATTCTGGGGCCTGTGCAGCAATCCACGTGTCCAGTCTCTTGATGACTGCATTGATTTCACTCAATTCGGTAAGTTTTCACACGTCGATATATAAATAGACTGAAACTACGACGTTGTATTTAAGTCCATCTATATTCTAGTTTATTATATAGTATTTATGTTAATCGTTTGTTATATAAAAACTAAGAATTGATAAAGAGCAAGCAAATTCGTGCCGTTTCAGGCTTCATGTTTCCAAATAACACACGGGTGCAGGACATGCAAGTGTGCGGACCCCAGGAGGTCAAGCTCTTCTGCAAGGATTTTGTGGAGAAGGCCGAGGTGATGTTCATCTTGGCGACCGTGGCGAGCATGCTCGTGATTTTAAGTTTGATACACTACCTGATGTGCTTGTCCGCTAACTACGCGCACATACGAGATCACGAGAAGTTCCAGGAACTGCAGGAGCTGCAGTACCTGCAGGACGCGACCGATCCGGACTCCCCGCAGCCGGGAATGGGTACTCTCGGCTCTCATCGCGGCAAAGACAGGTTCTAGGACACGGCCCGCGAGATCTTCACTATGAACCCTTTGTAAGGAGCCTATCGTCCACCTGACTGTCCACGTAGGTCATCCTTGCGCCCGATTGGAAATCTCTTCCGGGTACCACTTCCTCTTCTCTATGTACCTAAATTCGGTATTCTGCTCATCGCGGTGTGTCTGTCGCCGTCTACGGTAGTTTACTGATTCGAGGATCTTGCGGGAACCAACTCTATGCCGTCCATTTTATCTGCGACTGTAATCGTATGTAAGCATCTACTTCGTTTTATGTAAAAAAGATGTTTATTGAGGCACGTGCCGGTTTGTCGTAAAACTTTCATCTTTAACGCGAATCGCTCGATCAAAGAGATCTCTTGCGATCGATTCGCGGAGTTTCGGTCTAGAGCGTAAAACGTTCACGACGATATCATTCCATGAGCTTCGTATTCATAGGAAAAGTATTTGAAATGTAGCCTTGTGCGAAATGCGCAAGATTCCAGCGCGCACAGAGATTTGTATTTACTTGAAAGTATTTTATTTCACTTCAGTGTACGCGCACACGCACGCTGTATTGTGCGTAATAGTGTTATGCGAGTGTTGACGACTTTAGATCATTTGCCGGTCTAATCTTTCGGTATTAGGGCTAATTCTCGGACTATACATACCACGTACTATGTCTTCAGTACTGAGAGATTTTTTTACGAAAGAGATTTCTTTTTTTTATACGTGTTTACATACTAGGCTACTAAGCATATATTTTCGTTACATTACGGACATTTAAAGCATGCTGGGAAAATTACTTTGAAATAATAAAAAAGACAACTGTTACATAGGATATACAAAGATCAAACTAACAACGACCGCGTATACAGCAATTGTTAAGATGATTATTAATCAAATTTTCATTGAATATTTTCCCAGCGTGCTTGCTAAGAAATATTCATGTCGTTTGTGCAATTATATAAGCGAAAAGCTCATCTTTCACTTTAAGCAGCTTTCCACGGAGATAAAATGTTACAGAAAACGTAACATCGTGCATATAGAAGAATATATATTCGTGGATTCTGCGTATATATGTATGTATAATATCGAATGTTGTGAAAAGAACAATATATTTTTCCGAATAGTAAAAGAATTCCGCTATCAATAGAGAAAGGAATATTAGAGAAAGGAACGAAAGTTATATAAATTCCTCTATGCACGTTACTTGTGCCAAAGTAAAGAATTTTTGCTCTAAACAAAGATCTATGACTTATGTAACACGTCAATGTTGAGGCACAAATTTAAAAAAATATATATACGTACAATCGCGAGCTCGACTCGCCACATATTATTACTTGCTCAAATGATTTGATGATGATCGCTGATTTTCGTAATGAGTGCGATTACCGGATGAAAAACCTTGCGCGTCCCGCAACTTAAATTAGAGATACGATTTTTTTATCCACGATAATTCTAGATTACTTTATTATACACACCTGATGAGTAAAATGACACACATATCAAATGGCAATTTGAATTTATATGCAGCTGCAAAAGGTTGTATACAATAGAGAAGGATAAAACGGCACGCAGTTATTGTTTGTTTTTAAGGAAAGAACTTTGATTTATTGCACTGTAAAAACTACGTGCCGCGTTCGAAAGTATAATTACAATGTATATTCTATTATATTAATGAATAAAAAAATATTTCCCTCTTACAAAGTGTGTGTCTCTGCATATATTTCAAAGTTTCCGTATTAATTATCTATAGTTTTCGTAGCTTTGGTACGTAATTTACATTATCATGGTAGACAAAGTATGTACAGTGATAGTTAAATTACACATTTTGTACAGTCCTTCGTTCGTCGCGTGACGTTCAGTCCTCGTCGAACTGGAGGTCCAGCTCCAGGTCGAGGGCACTGACTTCTTGGAGGGTGTTGATGAACGTGTATCGCGAAAAGATCATGTACAACTTTCGAAACCAGACGTACTGAGACTTGTGTGCGGCCATGGCACTCTGCAAGGGAAAGATAACGTTTAAGAAAGAGGTCTGCGCGTTAAACGCGATGATTAATTGTCTCGCCATAACGAGGCAGAATGTTCCGATTTACTTTGATCGTTCGCTTCTGCTCGTACGTCACCAGATACCAGTACGAGGCCGAGAGTAGGCTGACGGGCAAATCTAAGAGTTGAATGTACTTCCTGATTATATTAACGGACTCTAACACATATAGCTTGCAATCTGGAACACGATCGGACTTATATATCATACGAACCTGCTATATTTGTATATCAATCGAGCGAACGATACTCACAAGGAGGTACTTTTTTTTCTATGCACAACGCGGCGATTGCAAAATACAAGGAGATATGATTTTTATGCCGGCTCACTCCGTGTTTGTCGAACGTAACGACGGCGTTGATTTTATACATTTCTACGTATTGCAAGATGCTCTCTGCAACCGTGTCCGTTGGCCACTGTACGCCCTGATCGTCCGGCAACTCGCTGCTCCTGCACATTTGTTCATCCGACTATTATACAAGAGATAGTTATTTCTATTTTATCATATTCCTCACCGCATATTTAACACTTGAATGAAGTTGGATGCAGTTATGCAATAAGGCTGAATAAGGAACCATTTTTATATTTTTAATTCTGTATTGCAAAGTAATACTTCACATGGACGGGAAATTTTCTAAAAATGCATATAACACATGGAATTACATTTGACGTAACGTCGGCGCCGAATCTTATTTCTAACATTTCGAAATTTTCTCTGGCAAAGAAGGAAGTTTGGAGTTGGTCCCGCATTGCAGAACCGTGTCCAATTGTTCATGTTGCAAAAGTTAGACAAGTACATCTAGTGTTAAATATGCCGTTAGAATAAAGCGATCCTACGATATTTCCTCGAAAAAAAAAAAAACGTAAATAATTGGAGCACATGTGAGCGCTTGTAAATGACGTTTCCCGTAGGCACACTCACATAATGATCGTCACGTTAGCCTCCGGGATTCCCAGCACCTTCGCACACGCCCACAGCTCGTCTACCCTCTTTCTGTCCCCACCTGCAAGCATACTGGTAAACATCAATAGACACAGCGTTTACGTGACGTCTAGCCTGGTTCATTCCCGGATCGTCGCTCACGATCCTGGGACGACGGAGAGGCCCGCTAGTGACATGTACCCATGGATAAGCACAGGAGGTAGATCTCGCTGGCCTTGGAGCGGGCCAGCCAGTAGACCAACGGCCCGAAGAACATCACCTCGTCGTCCGGATGAGCGGTGACCAGGAGAAGTCTACCGGGTGGGCCTGGCAGCTGCCAGGCGGCATGGCCCACCCGTTTGAGGACCGCGTAGAGGAAGACACAGACGCAGAGGTACGCGAGCAGGGCGATCAGCAGCTGCCACGAGATCTCGCGGATGTAGAAGCACCACCAGGAGATCGCCTCGTTGAGCTGCAGGCTGAGGTACAGCCGCACGTACTCCAGGTCGGCCATCATCCTGAGAATCCCCGCGTGCACGACGTGGCGCGTGACCTGTCGCGCGAGCTATCGCGGGCCCGCCATGTCGCCGATAACGCGCGAGTTATCGCCCGCGAGCGAGAACGCGACGTTCCCCGGAGCCGCGCAGCGGCCGAGTTTGAGGTTAGGTCGCGCCGATTTGGCGGACCGTCTGAGCAGTCGCCGTTTTCGGCCAGGAGGAACTGTGGAGGACAGGGACAGGAGGAACCGAGAGAGGAAGATATTCAGGGGGAGAGGGAAACGGTGGACGTGCGAGACGTAAGACGTGAAACCATAATTTAATATATTAACTTCCAGATGAGATAATTATTTTCGTATATAAACATTATTTCAATCCCGTTATTAAAAAATGTGAAATATATCTAGATTTACATTTTACTATAATATCCTATATCGCCTCGGGAGTCGGTCAGAGATTATTTCTTAAAAATTAGGTAATCGCAATTACAGCTGACGTCGTCAGCATGACGCAATCAGAGGTTAATTAAGAAGAAACGAGATAATTGCGGGTAATTGACCCGTTACGTGATTCAAGCGTTGCGCGAAGGTCAAAGGAAAATAGATAAAACTTTAAAGTTTCAAAAAATCAATACGAATCGACAGGTATATCGAACTACGAGCGCGCGAGCTTATCGACCTCTCGATTACTCTCGAAAGCTCCGCGGCTGCGACGCTGCGTTCAGCGTTGTGTTTTTCGTGATCGACGTGATCTGTTTTTGCAACGATATTTCTACCCCAAGTTTTCCCTCGAATAAATTCTAAATACTTAGATAAGAATAGGAAGAGAGGAGAGATTTTATAGACATTTTATCGTTGATAGCCGAAAATTCCCTTGGCACTGAACGCCGCGAAGTGCCAAAAGCCTGCCGCAGGTTATGTCACCGCGCGAGAGGTAGTCGGAAAATCGAGAATTCCGGGACGATGAACGATCAGGAGGAGGTGGACCTGTACCGAGACACGTATGTGAGATATTTAGGTAATGGCAAGAATATTTTTAAGTACTGTTATCGAAATTTTCTGTCATCCTTCTCTCGTTTTGTGTTTCACGATTCTGCACGACGTACAAGTCATACTTGATTTATAAATAATTAATAAAAAACAGTAAAGCAAATCGGCGTTTCAAGAAGATTCTTTTGTACATAGGCCAACAAGGTGTAAATTCTGTTTTTTTTTTTTAGGTTATGCGAACGAGGTTGGAGAAGCGTTTAGGAGCCTGGTACCAAAATCCGTCGTGTGGTTCAGTTATGCGTTGTCAAGCGGATATGTTCTCGCAGACACGGTGCACAAAGGTGCGAAGGTCTACCAGGTACTGTGGGAATGGTCAAATTTTAACGGGGATAATTATCGGACATTTTAACAGCTTCTATTATTACAGGCGGACACCACGCCACAGAGAACCAAAAACGTCCTGTTGTCCACGTCAGATACCTTGATATGGCAGTCGTTCGCGTCGGTGATAATTCCCGGCTTTACCATAAATAGGATTTGCGCGGCAGTTCAGTTTGCTCAAAGAAAGAGTGCAAGAGCAGCTTGGAAGAAGCCTTGGATCACTACGCTTATTGGTTTGGTGTCCATTCCTTTCATAATACATCCCATAGACCACGCCGTGGAAAGAGCGATGGATGTTAGTTACAGGAAATGGACGGGATACCATCCAAAGGAGCCTCTATGCGGTGTGAAACACGAATAACGATAGTTGTTCGTACAGGTAGTTAATTATATAGTATGTAACCTGAGAGAGGTCGTGCTTAAGCGAGCTATATAATATATTGGAGAATTTATTCAATTTTGTACACAAAGCAACTCAAAGATCTTATATTAATACTGGTGGAAGAATATAATATATTTTTTTATGATCTCTATCTAAGGACGATTTAATGATCAAATTGATGCCTGAAAGTTTCCTTAAAATCATCAAAATGTAAATTAAAATTCTTTGTGATGTGATATACAGATAAGGATAATGAAATACGAAATAAACTCTATGAAAGAATAACTTAAGATGAATTTAAATTAAGTTAAGCTAAACTCAGTATCTGCAAATCGCGTTTCAGATAAACATATTTACACGATCTCTCCTGGTCTAGAAAAACGGTACACAGTATTACTGCCAGATATAAGATAGTACAACAGAATGCACTTAGAATATTTTATTGTTAATTGCAAAAATGTAAAATATTTTTGTTATAATGTACATATTACACAGCTATATGTGCATTAAGATTTTTAGCTGGCTTTGCCGCAATTGTTAAGCTGTTGAATAAAGTTATTGATTTAATTCCCCGTTCCCTATCTCGTAATCATCTTCGCTTTAACGCATCGTTATGTTTTCGATTTAATATTTTCTATAACTAATATCTTTCTTATTTTTCTCCCGTTATTATATTAAGTAGAAAATAATACGATAATCCACTTTTGTGTATTTCTTACTCAAAATGAATTCGAAAAGGAAATGACGTCTTGTTTTTATTTTATCATTATTATTTTTTTTCCAGAAATTTATCATCGCGATATTAGAGGAATTCAGACAGTGCCGCAAAGTAGGAATGGTTTCGCAAGTTATGCACGGCGAAAGGTTCTCCGACGGTTTCCACGGTGCGGCGGTTAATAACGGCGCGATGTAGGGTAACACCCGTTTCATGAAAATGCATCGCGCAAAAAATGCTACCGCATCGCGCGGCGGCGTTATAATTATACCGCAAGCAGCGCCGATTACGAGATCATTATCTGGCCGTACCACACAATTTCCCCTTGCTATCGCGGCCGAATCTGAGGTCCCGCGCTCACGATAAACGCGATTGTAATCGATATACATTTCTTAATGTGCGCGATTCGAGCGAGTTTCGCATTAAGACATCAATGGCACCGACTAAGCGTTTTCCCGCGAGCGTAATTTTCGATCGTCAGATAACGTGATGAATTTTTCCGCAAGGAATAAATGACGCAAGATATACATTGGGACGTATCCATTTCGCGAAATAGAATTTCTAACGCGCGAAATCGACGGAATTGGCTCTGTGGCAATCTCTTAGATCCCTTTTCGCATCTTCTTGTATCCGCGATATTTTAGTAGCAATACTTCGAAATCACTTTTATTCGCGTGATTCTCGTTCCGGAGTGCCTTCGAATTCCTGTTTTTATTTTGACAAAAAGATCGACGTCGGCCCTTTTTAAAAAAGAATTAATATATCGAATTAATTAGCGATTAGAAATCTGCCGGCGAATCTTTCGTAAATCTCCGACGACGCGGCATTCTTAAAAACGTTTACGTTCTCGTCATACTGTAATATTGCAATACTGTTTAATATATTTATATATTATTATATAACGTATTTATATTTCTGTTTTGCGAATGAAAAGAAAATAGCGGAAAAATGACGATCAAACAAGCGAAATGTTTGAAGCGTTTAAACAATTAAATATTATCTTAAATATCGAAACAATCAAATATCGCTTTAAATATCGATAAAACGATAATAAATGTATCTTCTCTATCCTTTCGTTTCTTATTCCGAATGAATAAGTTACGATAACACATGCTTGAACATTTTCGAGGCATTGGCATTGATGATAGCGGACCAACGATAAAATTCCGCACAACTTCGCAATTAACGATATTAGGGATAAAATCGCTAATTGTAACAAATACATATGTAATAGAAAGTGATCACGTTTCACGCTTGTCAATACAACGAACGATACGTGCCGCCGTTTTCTCGCTCGAGCGACCGAATTGATTTTGAAATATATTGTCGGATATTTTCTGTTAGGTTTTTTACGGCTTTTCCTGGAACTCGAGGTTGACGTCAACAACGCTCGTTTGATTTCGGCCGCGCGCGTCGCGCCCACGCAAGGTCGCCGCGCTACCATTCGCACGCGGACCTCCGAGCGGGCCGGGCAACGGCGCATGTCGCGTTATTTTTCGGAGTACGAATCGCCGGTGTCGACAAAATGCGAAATGCGATTATTCTCCTCGTCTCATCCGTCACGATTAGAGATTATTGGCGATCAATCGTTGTCTTCGAAAATGTTTCCGAAGCTGGAATTACCGCGCGATTCGTCCACTTTGGACTTGGACTCGGGATTAGAATCGGGAGGACGAGAGGAACGGCCGGGGGACAGTCGAATGGAACGGAAAGTCGCGCATTATCGTCTCATCGCGACATTTAATTGCTTTTTTAACGCTTCGACTCGGACGTGCCGCGGTCGTAATTTCTTTTTTATTTCGAAAGCGCGAAATAATACGCGAATCGCCGGAACGCAAGCTGCAAAGGATAGCGAAAAACGATACGGGGGAGGGGGATGTAGCGAAATTTATTAATAAAATATCTTTATCTCGGTGAATTTGTGCCGTTAAAGTCGGTTAAAGCGATACATCTCACGATACTGAATATCGTACACTTTCGAATAGTCCGGCTTGTCTCTAGATAGATATTAGATTAGATATTAGATATCGAATTGACTCGCGCCGTGTGTCGCCGCGATAAGCGGAGTGAAGTTGCCCACGTATCTCTCGAACGTCGCCGGTCGCGACTCGCGATGTGGAATGGGTTCACACCGACTACACCGAGGCACCGAGGTTGGGCGACGTCGCGGCGCGTTAGATCGGCAAACACGGTCCGATTAACCCCATGACTCG